TGTGTGTGTGTGTGTGTGTGTGTGTGTGTGTGTGTGTGTGTGTGTGTAGAAATGGATTTCCGTGAAGGGACAGACGTGGATGCTACTTCTGTTCAGAAGACCTTCAAGAGGCTCGGTTACAAAATCTCAGTGTTCAACGACCAGAGCGTGGAGGAAATGAAGCGCCAGATGGAGCGTGGTAACCACCGGACAAAGACCCTTCACTTCCTGTTCTTTTAGATTCACATACTGGGCCAGGAGTTCTGCTGATTTATGATGCATGTGGAGATTAAATCACCTTTAGCCGCCAGAGTGGACACATTTTACCTCAAACTAGACATGGAGTTAAACACATCGTTAGCAAGGTTTCATCTACAAAATTTTTTTACACATACTGACCTGAACTGTGTTTGTGTTAGTCAGATCACACTGCAGTGTCACACAATGACATAAGACTGACACATGTCAATCATCACTGACATAAGACTGACACCTGTCAATCATCACTGACATAAGACTGACACCTGTCACTCATCACTGACAGGAGTGACATGTGTCACTCATCACTGACATGAGTGACATGTGTCACTCATCACTGACAGGAGTGACAGGTGTCACTCATCACTGACAGGAGTGACAGGTGTCACTCATAACTGACATAAGACTGACACCTGTCACTCATCTCTGATAGCTGACTGACTGGCTGATAAAGTTTAACCGAAACAGATGAAACCTGAATACTTGAAGCTTTTCAACGTAATATGGTTTGGTTTCCATCCGGCCATAAGTACGTACCTAAACTTTCTCTTGTCCCGCCCATATTTTCTGATCCACTCAATATAATTTAATAAAACTTACACTTATAGTCACTTATACTTAACACTTATGCAGCACCACTACATGAAGAGTAGCATGCACTCTTCACCCCAGCTCCAAGAATAAGGTAAAAAAATAAAGGTCAATGTTAAAACAAGGTTCCTGGAGCCTTACATAAACCATTTCTATAGATTGCTGTATGCAAGTTTGTCGACCGGTGTATAAAGTGCCGGACTCTTTTTCTTTATAAAATGATCAGAGTAAATCTCTGGCGTAAAGGCAGTGTAGAGACAAGCCACATCTTTCATTAAGTAATGCTCAGCCTTTAATTGTGAACAGAAATGTTTGAATTCTTCTTGTTGTTCGTCTTCAGGTGTGATGAGACTGTCCTGCAGCAGTTCTGCTGACTTTAACAGACACATCTGAACAAATCCAGAATAATTTATTCCAATGATGTGGCAGAAAAAAGGCCAGAGTCTCACAATGAATACCTACGAATGGATCTTTTTTCTCATCTTTCGGTGAAACGAGCTCTAATCTCACATTTCATGCCTGCTAACCTGTCCTGTTGTCCCACTGTCCCTCTGTGTGTCCAGTTTCTCAGGAGGACCACAGTCAGAGTGCGTCCTTCGTGTGTGTGCTGCTCAGTCATGGAAAGGAGGGGGTCATATACGGCACAGACGGCGTTGTAAGCATCGACACCCTCATCGGATATTTCAAAGGGTACAAATGTCTGAGTCTGGTGGGGAAACCAAAGCTCTTCTTCATCCAGGTTTGTTGTCTTTGTTGGTCCACTCACACACTGCTGTACTGTCCAGAACAATGTGGGTTCTGATGACTTGGCTGCTGATCTTAGGCATGTCGAGGGTCGGCTGTGGATGATGGGGTGACGATCGAGACCGACTCTGTGGAGGAGCAAACAACAGAGAAGATTCCCGTGGAGGCAGACTTCCTGTATGCGTACTCCACGGCTCCAGGTAACCCAGTTCAGTTTTCTGTTCAGAGTTCTGCCCGCCGCCTGGATCTCTTGAAAAAAGCTCCAAGTGATTCTCCTGCAGGCTATTTCTCCTGGAGGAACCCCTTGAAAGGCTCCTGGTTCATCCAGTCTTTGTGTGAGACTCTGGAGATCTTCAAGGGAGAACTGGACCTCATGCAGATTCTGACCCGGGTCAACAACAAGGTGGCCCGCCACTTTAAATCGTTCTCGAACTTTCCTGTGTCCAATAAGAAGCAGATCCCCTGCATCGTCTCAATGTTGACAAAAGACTTTTATTTTCCTAAGTAAACACATTTTATACAAGATTTATTTTAGAAACACACATTTACAAGCAGGGAGCACATCGTGAGTCCGAACGGACCCGAACCAGCTCCAGAAACATGTGAGACAAGTAAAAACAATCAGAGATAAATGCTTTATGTAATATTAAAAAAAATGCACTTTTATTACTAATGTTGTCACAAAAATACAAACATTAGTTTATTGGAACTTTTTTTTTCTTCCTGGAAATAAATAAACTGTAAAATGTCAAACTGGAGGGATACAATTATTTCTGTTTTTATGCCGCATCATCTCTGAAATTCTCCTGATGATGATTTTATTGATGTGATTTGATTTTCTCTGTCGTGTTTATACGTGCTACAGAAATAAAACACACTTTGACGTTACGCTCAGTTTTAATTTGGTCTGACACTTTTCCACAATCCATCAAATTGTCTCGAAGATAACGCAAAACATTTCACTTTTACGTAAAGACGATGCAGAAACACACATTTAAAATCAGATGAGTTTAATATTTAAAGCATTTTTAAAACAACTAAAGGTCTGAATAAAAACATGAACAGCCCAAACAACTGAATTTAAGTTGTGCCCCAGATTCTTCCAGCCTAGATTACGGTGGCCGCCATACTAGATAGATGAGAGATGAGCAGATGGACACGTGGTCATTTGTATCATATGACCAGTAGAGGGGACCAGAGAGTTTTACCAGCACTGTGTGAATCAGCAGCATCAGGATCTGGACCTGTGCATTCTGCAGTGAACAGTGAAGGGTAACGTGCATTCTGCAGTGAACGGTGGAGGGTGACGTGCATTCTGCAGTGAACGGTGGAGGGTGACGTGCATTCTGAAGTGAACGGTGACGGGTGACGTGCATTCTGCAGTGAAAAGTGGAGGGTGACGTGCATTCTTCAGTGAACAGTGGAGGGGGACGTGCATTCTGAACGATGGAGTGACTCATTATGTTTAAAAACTGTTGGGGTCAACCAGCAGATCTCTGATCAGTCCTTCACATTTTGATACTTGTCATTTTGTCAAAGAACTTTTGGTCAAAGGTCATGGATGTGTAACTCGTACAGGAAGGGGCGGGGCTAACTGGAGGCTTTAGAGATTTTTTTGGGCCAATGACTACGTTTGTATACGAGAGTTAAAGGCAAGGGGCGACATGAAAAAAGAATGAGTGGAGCAACAGGCCACCTTACGTGAAGTGTATTGAACAGTTAGAACAACAGATAAAATATTTTCACATGACTGTGTATATAAAAAGAAAAGAAATACCAAAAATGTGTCCTAATAAATCTGTACCTTTGAGCTCAGATTGTGTTTTATTCCTGCCAGCTTTAGTCAATAATTCAGTCCAAGGTGCTCCAGGTTGTAATCAGTGTCTATTGAGGGGTGGGGCATGACAATTCCTACTGCACAATTGCTGAACATGTTGCAGTGGTGAGAGAACAGCTGGTTCTCCACGGGTCAAGAACATTGGTACAGCTCGGTTCAAGGGTTCTCAAGGGTGGCTCGCCATTTCTCTCGTCAGGGAGAAATCCAGTTCCAGGTTCAAGTTCCAAGGGTTCCAAACAAAACCTGGCCTGTGTAAACAACAGGGCTGTAGATGAACAGATGCTGCAAAATATTCATCAATTAAAACAGATTCCTCATTTTTCTGGACTGAATAAAACGTGCATTGAATTTAATGAAATGCAAACGTGAGACGTCATTTATCTTTGACCCATCAAAATGAATGCGGTCATTTATTTACAGAATCAAAGTTTAACATCAAACATTTACATTAATTTGGCAAAATATGAAAATAACAACATAATCAATCAATCAGGAAAACCATACGGCCATGATTTTCCGTTGCTTCACCACAGACATTTCTGAAAACTGTACAATTATGATCAATTATCCACACGGCGGTGGATGAGCACTTTACACAGACATTTCTAAAATATCTGGAAGGATTTCTACTTGAGAGAAGAATTTAAAGATGGAAAGATGGAGTTTAAAGGGAGTAAAAGATGGATGAGGGAGAATGTGGTGTCAGCTTCAGAAACGGCACCCTCCATTCGAACCCAGCTCTCCTCGGTACGCTTCGGTAGGAAACTTGACTCATTACCTTTCTGAAGATTAATCAGCAGATATGGAGGTCCAGTTAACGCTACCTGTCCAGCGTCTCCATAGGATGGCTGTGACTCGTCCGAAGTAGTGACGAGATTCCGTCCGACACAAGCTCACCTCAGCAAGTGGAAAGTGTTATAATCCCATGAAACTCGGAAGAGCTCTGTGGTCATGTCAGGGTCTTCCCGGCTCCCAGCCAGACCCAACAGAACTTCACAGAACTGAGAACTGGGCAAATCCAGAACTGGCTCCCAAGCAACTGCACAGCACTAGGACATATCAGAACTCCGAGAACCAGGAAGTACCGACATTTTTAAAGAGCTCTTTTCCCGGTTCATTTGGGAGTCTTCCCATTGGTCAGTACCGACCAGACAGGGGTGTGTTTTGTGACGTAAGAGGTTACTAGGAGTCAGAAAAAGCAAGAATTGTTATGGAACAGATTAAACTGTTCTCAGAGACAGAGAGAGTTTGTTTTGGCGAGTTTTAGAAACAGGTGCCAACTCCGTTGACGTCTGAGAGGATGTAAACAAGACAGTTGTTCCAACACATGTCTGCTTCGACTCCTGACCTTGGAAAACGCACACTTGCTCATTCAAAGACAGAAATCAGAAAATGCATAAAAATCTGTAACAGACCTCAACATGAATTCTAACTCTGCATAAGCATCAAAAAATCATTACACTGTTTCACAGTTAATAAAATTGATTAGTTCACTGCAACATCTAAAATGGTTTGAACTAAGACACTTTGATTATCAACATTTGTAAAATAGTAATGATAATAAAAAGAGAGTGTTCCTTCACTTGATCTTCAAGAAAGAGAGTCTCAGGATGGGTGAACCTGTATTTCTGGATTCAAATCAATGAAATGACAGTTCCTGTCCCACAAGGTTCTTAAGGTCAAGGGTTTTGACCTTAGGCTTAGTTTTGACATCAGGTTAAGTTCACTACAGGGCTATAAATCACAATTAGTTCAAGTGCTTTAGACTCCACACTGGGCTGCCACCTTACCATGGTGGAGGGCTTTGAGTGTCCCAATGATCTTAGGAGCTATACTGTCAGGGGCTTCATGCTCCTAGCAGGGTCACCCAAGGCAGACAGGTCCTAGGTGAGGGACCAGACAAAGTGCAGCCTAAAGACCCATTATGATGAGCACAAGCAATGGAAACAGTGTTCCCTCGCCTGGACCTGGGTTACTGGGGCCCCACTCTGGGGCTGGGCCTGGAGGTGGGGCATGCTGGCGAGTGCCTGGTGGCTGGGCTTTTGCCCATGGAGCCCGGCCGGGTACAGCCCGAAGAGGAGATGTGGGTCCCCTTTCCCATTGGCTCACCACCTGTGGGAGGGGCCAAAGGGGTTGGGTGCAATGTGGGATGGCTGAGGGCGGGGACCCTGGTGGTCTGATCCTCGGCTACAGAAGCTGGCTATTGGAACGTGGAATGTCACCTCTCTGGTGAGGAAGGAGCCTGAGCTGGTGTGTGAGGTTGAGAGGTTCTGGCTAGAAATATTCAGACTCACCTCAACGCATGGCTCTGGCTCTGGAACCAGTTTCCTTGAGAGGGGTTGGGCACTCTTCCACTCTGGATTTGCCCCTGGCGAGATGCGCCGAGCAGGAGTGGGCATACTTGTTGCCCCCAGTCTTGGTGCCTGTACGTTGGGGTTCACCCCGGTGAATGAGAGGGTAGCCTCCCTCCGCCTACGTGTGGGGGGGACGGGTTCTGACTGTTGATTGTGCTTATTTATTTTAGTTTAGAAAACATCTAAAAGGTGAAGCCGCATGTCTTGGACACTCAGGGGAAGAGAGGGGCGGAGCTGTCTACTGACCACTACCTGGTGGTGAGTCAGCTCCGATGGTGGGGGAGGATGCCAGTCAGACCTGGCAGACCCAAACATATTGTGAGGGTCTGCTGGGAACATCTGGCAGAGTCTCCCGTGAGACGGAGATTTAACTCCCACCCCTGGGAGAGCTACGAACATGTTCTGGAGGAGACGGGGGACATTGAATACGAGTGGGCCATGTTCCGCGCCTCTGTTGTTGAGGCAGCTTATCGGAGCTGTGGCCACAAGGTTGTCGGTGCCTGTCACGGCAGTAACCCTCGAACCCCGTGGTGGACACCGACGGTGAGGGATGTTGTTAGGCTGAAGAAGAAGACCTATCAGGCCTTTTTGGCCTGTGAGCCCGCAGAAGCAGCTGATGGGTACCGGTAGTCCAAGCGGCATGTGGCTTGGCTGGTCGCTGAGGCAAAAACCCGGGTGTGGGAGGAGTTCGGAGAGGCCATAGAGAATGACTTCCGTACGGCTTTGAGGCAATTCTGGTCCACCATCCAGTGTCTCGGGGGGGAGTGGTATGCCACCAAAACTATTTATAGTGGAGGTGGTGTGCTGCTGACCTCAACTCAGGATGTCGTGGGTCGGTGGGCAAAATACTTCAAAGACCCCCTCAATCCCACCGGCACATCTTCCACTGAGGGAGCGGAGCCTGGGGACTTTGGGTTGGGCTCTCCAACCTCTGGTGCTGAGGTCACCAAGGTGGTTAAAAAGCTCCTCGGTGGCTGGGCCCCGGGGGTGGATGAGATCCTCCCGAAGTTCCTTAAAGCTCTGGATGTTGTGGGGTTGTGTTGGCTTACACGACTCTGCAATATTGCGTGGACATTGGGGCAGTTTCCCTGGATTGGCCGACTGGGGTGGTGGTCCCCCTATTCAAAAAGGGGGACCGTAGAGTGTGTTCCAACTAAAGAGGGATCACGCTCTTAAGCCTTCCTGGTAAAGTCTATTCAGGGGTTCTAGAGAGGAGGGTCCGTTGGATAGTCAAAATTCGTATTCAGGAGGAGCAGTGTGGTTTTCGTCCTGGTTGTGGAACACTGGACCATCTCTACACTCTCAGCAGGGTCCTGG